ACTGAAGTTTAATTAGATCTGGAGAGAAGTGTGTTTTCCTGAAAAGGTTTGTCAGATTTCAGGTCTGTGTAACGTCCAGCTCTTTTGTGACTAATGTAGAATAACTCTTTGCTTCGTCGCTTTATGTTTACTGATAATTTTCAAGTCAAACTTTTATCATGTAGATGTATTTATCTGCTCATGACTCTTTTATAGGCTACGTCAGGGTGTGATTGTCAGGTTGTGTTAAACGCAGATGAACTTTGTCTCTTTGCTAGAATTTGTTTCCTCATTCTCAGAAAAGCAGCTGCGTTATCTTCATGAACCTTTTTTATATTTTACAATCAAGGCAGCAGAACTGTTATTTATGCTTTCTGTTTTTTGTCTTGAAATAAGCTTTTCAACCTTCCAGAGGACCTGGAGGGATCCGGGTCTGACCAGGAAGGTTCTGGTTCAGGAGCCTATGTAGAAATCGGTAAGTCTTCATCACCATCTTCACCTCCTCGCAGGAATGCATGTCACCCGCCGCCTTTCATGCCAGAGTTTTAGGTCTTGTCTTGAGAAGTGCTTTAGCCTAAATCTCATCTCATCTTGTGTGATCTGGTAGTATTTGTTTGAAGGACTCTCGGCTACTACCACCGCCGAATTTTAGCTCATATCTGTAGAATTCAGTGAGTTATGACAATATTTGTGTCGGCTAAGAAGAATTAACTGTGACGGCCTTCTTGAGCCACCAGTAATGGGCGAACAAATAAAAGAAAAGCGGCGGGTGATAAATATCAGCACATCTTGTTTTGTGATTTTTTTTAAATATATTTTTATTAAAATATATTTGTCCTCTCTTGTTTGCCGAATATAAAAAAATTAAAGGTGACTCCGGCACTGCGTCACCCCCACAAGAAGGAAACAAGAACTCAGTCAAAGTACGATTTGTTGTATTTTATCTCCCTGTCTCTTTATGTGATATGTGTCACAGGAAATGAAGCAACTGTTCCTCATTTTATTTTTATTTGTGTATTTTTGCTTCAGCAGTTCTCAGATATAAAACTCGGAAGCAACCACGAGCCTCCATCGGGAACGTTTGTCTTTGGAAACAGCAGGAGTTTTTTGGAAAACAAACAAATCCTCGCAGGTATTTGACATTTCCGGCACATTTAGCTTTAAGATGCAAGTTTGTGATGTTGAAGCTCGGTCGTTTACAGGCGCCATCGCCGGCGGGGTAACAGGAGCGGCACTCGGGACCGTGCTGTCAGCCATACTGATCTACAAATGGAGGAGGAAACAGGAGGAGGAGTGCATTCTGGGCACGAGAAGGAATTGTGAAGACAGCTACTGATGAGTTTTGTTAAAGTGTCCATAGAGCTGCTGTAAAGGGGAATATTGCACTTAATCTGATTCATATCTGCTGCTGTTTATTGGTTTATAATTTATATTTATGATTGAAGTTTAAAAATTTTTTTTAATATTGACCTCTAATACGATGCCTATGTTTTTTAAACACCTGTAATTGCTCTCTGATGTACAGACTCTGGAAATATTACTGTATGTAAATATATCCTAAGGCAAATGATTATTGAAAATGTTTATTTTAAAATGGATTTTTATTACTTCTTCGCTGTGGGGGATTCAGCTCGGACTGGACCTCAACGTGTGTTTAAACAAAACAAACGTGCAATTTAATATTTATTTAATCATTCTAAGTTGTAGCACTTTCTGTTGTTTCTATGCAGATGTTTTGTATCTTTCAAAATTTAAAACCTTTTAGATCTTTTAAGGCCTCTTTTAGGTTCGAATGAGACTTCCTTATTTTGACATTTTATAATAAGCTTTTAAGTGTTCATTTAATGTGTCGGCTTTTGTAACATACAAAGACATTTAAAGAGTGATAAAAGTGATAAGCTTTAATGTGTCTCTTGTGTATTTAAAGAAAACCTTTTGTGAAGTCATACCTAGAATGTTTCCTTTTTTCTTTGGTACATCCTTCATCTTGTTCTGCCACTTGTCCAACTTCCTTAAATAGTTAAAGAAGTACACAGTAATATATTATCTGTAACCCTTAAGTTTATTATTTTAACCAATTTATGGATGCAGTTGAACGGATGGGGAAGAAAGTCTTGCAACGTTTTGTTGAGCAAATGTCCAACAAAGGTGTGAAAAACATTTGGAAGTTTGCATAAATTATTGTACTCTATACGTTTTAATAAAAAGACTATTTTAATCAGTGGATGTTTTTGTACATATTTTTTTTACTGTATAACTGTGTCTCAATATGTCTGCAAAATGTCATTGTGTGCAAAAACAATTTTTTCTTCTTGCATTTAGAATGAGGCCTCAAAAGTGTACGAAATTTGGTATTCACAAATCAGTTTGTTAATATTTCATTGTTCAATGTCAAATTTTGCTAGCATTAGTAACACCACGTTTGTAATACTTCTGTAATATAAATGTATGGAAGCCCATTTACGCCACCCTGATAAAAAAATAAATAAAACTTGTATCTCATAATTATGACTTAGCTATCTCATTATTATGAGATACTATCTCATAATTATGAGATTCTATCTCATAATTATGACTTAGCTATCTCATTATTATGAGATACTATCATAGTATCTCATAATTATGAGATAGCTATCTCATAATTATGACTTAGTATCTCATTATTATGAGATAGTATCT